GGAGAGTCCCAGGTCAGCTCTCCTCCGGTGCTATCCACTTGCGGCCCCGAGAGCATCGGAGGAGCCACGGACGGTGGGGCCGCCGCCAAGTGCTGGGCAGAGCACAGGAGGGCTGAGGTCTCCACCACGCGGGCTGGTGGGAGGGGCCACGGACGGTGGGGCGGCCGCCAAGTGCTGGGCAGAGCACAGCAGGGCCGAGGTCTCCACCACGCGGGCTGGTGCGGCGGGCATCTCCACGAGGCGCGGGGGCGGCGCCGACGCGGGCACCAGGCGCGCCGGCGGGGTCTGAGCCTCCACCAAACGCGCCGGCGGGGTCTGCAGGGAGCGGGCCGCGGGGGAGGCCTCCAGCAGCTCTGCAGGACCGAGGTGACCGTATGGCTCTCGCCGGGCCCCAGCGGCCGCTGCCCCAACAGGCAGCGGGTCCCGGGGATCGCCCACTGTCAACTCCACCCTCGAGTCCTCCGAGTCCTCGCTTGGCAGCGTCTGGGCCCTCAGCGCGGCCATGCGGGACGCAACACTTCTCCTCAGCTGCCTTCGGATCTTCCTGGGCCTCAAAGGCAGGGCCAGCACCGACCCGCTGTGTGGCTGCGGCGGTCGCCGGCGTCTCAACCTCCCGCGCCTTAACAGCCCTGCACTACCTCGAAGCCCATCCATAGTCTGACCTTCCTCGGAACCCGGCGGGAACAAGAGAGAAAGAGGCTCACGCCCGCGGTGCCTGCGGTGTACTCTGGGAAGGGGGCGGGCCTCCAGCTTGCTCTGGATTGGCCACGCCTACCATTCTTCCACCCTGCGCGGTCCGCTCTGCTGGTGAGCAAATGGTACCTTAGTTTGAATGTGTGGCTTCAGCCTAAGGCGGCGGAGCCCCTGCCAAATTAACGAAGATTCCATATTTAGAGGACATTTAAAAATCAAGTTGCCGGGGACTTCAAAAGAAAGAAAGTTGGCTATTTAACTCTTCATTCCTTCTAGTCTCTGGGTTCCCCAGGACGTCCTCTTTTCTGAACAGCATGTTCCCCAGCAGCTTTGCAGGGAAAGTGCATAAATCTTGTTTTCAAGGAATACCTTCAGGCAAACTTCGAGATTTCGTTCAAACCTTGGGTCCGCCAGGTCCTCTTTACTCTGCAGATGACATCATTGATTGCCGCCCTATGTAAGTTCCTCCGCTTAACTTCTCTTTGTACATTCTCCTTTTTAAATTCTCACAGTCGTTGCCTTCTCTCTGAAAAAGAACTTAAGAACTTTTCTACTTGCATTCTTTTTATCTGCCCTTCCCACGCCCTCTGGGATTTTGTTTCATTAGCCACAGCTTCTCTCTCCAGAATCTTCTTCTCACCTCTGAATCTTAAATCGACCTCTTAAATGTGGATCTCTCATTTAACAGGCACAGTGGAAGGCAAGGAGTTGTAATTGTTAAGAACAACATGGTCACTGTCTCCATGTAACTATTTTGTACATAGCGATTACTTTCTTCATTTGAATAATTTAAGGTAAAGTCCTAAGAATGAAATTGCTGAGTCAAAGGGCAGGATAATTTTTGTGATTATAAATAGGTTTTTACCAAACTCCATCCAAAAAAGTTTACCATGTTGCAAGCAATAATGAGCACATCAGAGAGCACGACCTCTAGGGTCTTTTCTGTGGTTCTGTTTGAACTTTTATTCCTCTTCCTCAGTCACACTTCTATCCAAACACTTGCCAAATCTTTTAGATTTTATCCCTACCCATGTGTCAAATCCACCTTCTTTTATTTCTCATATGGTCTATTACAGTGGTCGTCAACTAGGGGCGATTTCGTCTCCCCAGGGAACACTGGTTATGGGGTGGGAGGAGATCTTATAACATCTAGTGGATAGAGCTCAGAGATGCTACTAAACAGTGACAATGCAAAGAACACCCCTGACCCTCCAGCAGGTCATTGTTGAAACCAAAATGTCACTGGTGAGGCTGAGAAACCCTTATTATGTCGACGAAAGAACGTCTAGCCTACAGAAAAATTTTATAAGAGTTTATTTGAGCCAAATTTTAGGACATGCCTGGAAGCTAGATCTCGACAGATTGAGAAAATGCTCTGGAGAATGGCAGTTTTGCAACTTATTTTATACATTAGAATCAAAGGCGAAGAGGTAAGGAAGGTTATATGAAATCCATTGGTGGTAGATTAAAAAGGTGGGAGAAAGCAAAGCAGAAATCTCTAGGATTGGATAAAAAGCAAAATAGAGAAACATTTCTCTTACATTGATGGATACCGGATAGTTAGTAATTAAAATTTACAGCACAGAGAGATGGTATGCAGGGAACAAGATAACACTGAGGGGTTCCATGGTCACCTGCTCTGATGATCGTGTGCTCTGGTGCTGGCAGTTGTGCCTTCAGGGGGTCTAGAAAAGAATATTACTCTGACATTTCAAAGATATGTTATCCTAGATGCATATGGAGAGAGCTCATTTAAGGTAAAGATTGACCTTTGCCGAGGTAGCTATAGGCCTAGGATGTGACTACCCACGATAGCCTGCCCAGTTAGGAATTTATGATCAGACCATTATGTGTGGTTACTTTTGGCCACTGAGCTAGCTTATCAGGCCTTCCATGTGGACCCCTGATAGCTTATCAAGTTTATTACATAGCCCCTTTTCGTTCACAATTACAAGTACCTCCCAACTAGTCTCTTTAACTTTAATCTCTCTCTATTTTTTTTTCTTTCCCTATGCCAATTTATGCCATAGGTAGCTACAACATTAATTTTCTCAAGCTGTGGTCTCAAACATGCCATTAACTTACTCAAAACCCAAGTGTTCCCCATTGACCAATCTAAGCCCTTTAGCTAGGTACTGAAGACACCCAGTGTTATAGCCTTATCAGCCACAACTCCCCTAAACATTACTTCTACAGGTTAGAGTATTTACTGTTCCTTACCTGTGTTTTCCTCCATACATTTACTTATGCTGTTCCCCTAAATGCTGTCTCCGAATCATCTTTTGTCAAAACCCTTGTTAAAGTCCATTTCATATCTCATTTATTCCCCAAAGGCTCTCCCATCTTTCTAATCACAAGATAACTTTGACCCTTTCACATGAATTAAGCACATTTTGTCTGTATTGGTATATTATGTACTTGAAATATTCCTTCCTAAAATTCCTAGACTACAAGATCCTTCAAGGAAAGGATTTCCTTATGCCTTTTCCTCCTGCTTTTAGCACACTGCTTTTCACACAGAAGGTGGACAGGAAATGTTTATTGGGACGCAGACCAACCAGAATTGAGTCCCTCCCACTCGTTATATGTGGCCTTAGATCAGTCAAGTTATTTTCTCAGGTCTCAGTAATCTCATTGGTAAAATGAGAATAAAAATTGAACCTACTTCTTCATAGAGTTGTTATGAGGATAAAATTATGTATGTAAGACACTTAGCACAGTTTCTGGTACAGAACTAAACACTTCAAAAATGGTAGCTATAATAATAGCTTACTATTGTGGAGCAAAGCCCTATATGACCTATATGATGACTTGTGTGCCACTGGCATACCTTAGAGAGGAACAGGAGTGGGGGAGGCAGAAAAGTTCTTTAATTGTGCAGAATGACAGCATGGGATGTGGAGATTAGATTTTTTTTGCATTTGCCCTGTGGAAGTTTAAGTGAATCAGACAAAGCCATTGTGTGAGATACTGCCCTGCACAGTTATCTGGCCAAGGACAGACTAGGGGCTGAAACACTGATGTTTTCCTTCTACAGCCTGTGCCTAGTCTAGGGCTGCCGTGTCTGGAGGAAGGGACAGCAGAGGGGGCGCCCTCTTCCTAATTGATACATAGCTGTGTGTGTGTTGGTGAGGTCCTGTTATCAGATCCTCTGGGGAAATGCTGAGGAAAAAGGCAGGTGAAGTTTGACAATAGGATCTTTAATTGTCTTTTCAAAGAACGGTTTTCAATATACAGCACACACATTCTTCAGTGAACTGAGGGGATGAGGTGGGCTGCTCTGCTTTCAAAGCTGAGGGACAGTGTGCTCAGCTAAAGGAGGGCTGTGAGTTTATGTTTTCCAAATCCTGTACAAATATCTCCTCCTCCCAGTCTTTCCTGTGACCTCATCCTTTTCTTTCCTCAACATATAGTGATTTCCTCAGAGAATATTGTTGCTGGCTGTCCTGTAGTTTCCCTTGTGACTGGGAGGGACCTTTTGGAGACTGACTTATCTTTAATTTCATCACTTTTCCTGTGACTATATTTAGTTCTCACTACAAAAGCAGCTATTAATAACTATTTTCAGAAACATAATTTAATGACATGGAATAATGGTCTTAATATATCATGACTGGGGAAAAAAGCAGACAAAATAAATATTACAGTAGGATCTCATTTGGGGGATATGTATGTGTGTGTCTATGTGTATGTCTATCTATTCATAGATACATTCCATTCATACATACTACTGACAGAAGTTTGGGAGTCTTTACACTGCAAACTTTAACATCTTTGGATGGTGGGATTCCAGGTTATTTCTATTTTCTTCTTCTTTGCTAAAATTTATGTTCTGGGTTTTCTACATCAAACATGTATCACTTGTGCAATTACAAATATTGTGTTTTTTAAACCACACATTTCACTTTCCTTAACTCATCTCATTTTTCCTCTTCCTCTAGTCATTGCTTGCCTTGCTCTTCTGTTCTTTTTTTAAATCATTATAGTTCTGTTTTTTAAAAAATCGAAGAAACTTGACATTAAGATTATTACTGATTTTTTTTTTTTTTTTTTTAATATCTATAGCTTTCTATTTCCAGAATGGCATATAACTAAAAGCATACATTATGTAGCCTTTTCAGGCTGGCTCTTTCCTATAGCAATATGTATTTAAGGAGGTTCGCCCATTTTTTTTTGTGGCTTGATAGCTCATTTTTTATCTTTGAATACTATTCCATTTTATAAATGTGTCACAGTTTGTTTTTCCATTCACCTATTGAAGGACATCTTGGTTGCTTCTAGTTTTTGGTAATTATGAATAAAGCTGCCACAAACATTTATGTGATGATCAGACTTACTGTTTATCTGACTTCATTTTTCATTTCAAGTATAATCAAAGAATATAATAAAAAGAATTAATAGAGGAATACATCTTGAAAGTCAAAAATAAAATGAAATGGTCCATTATAATTGATTTATCCTTTTTTTTTAAAGTAATGAAAAACAAGGTAATAAATAATAGTTCAGATCTTATTATTTAACTAGCAATAATGCAATATAATATGTAGCTGAAATTATGTTATTTTTGAAATAAGAAATATAAGAGGCATGGTATTCTGCAAATGTGTGATTGGGTATATGTAAAATTCTGGTATTAGGCTTCTGAGGTTAATTGAAGAGTAATCAAGTGTAAAAATCAGAAATAATCCCGTTAAATTCATTAGACATCATAATAAAAAATTTTCCTATTTATTTAACAGAGGAAGAAGATATATACACAAGAAAAACTCACTGTTTGTCATACCACTACAGAATTGCTTCCTATAGATACACAATTCTGATATATTCTATTTCGCTTTATTCCTATCAAAAAAGAAAAATGTATTGTATGTTTATATGCTGCATTATTAGGAGAGAACTTTTTTGACTAGACATTAAGCGAGAACTAAATCCTTCTTTTATCATTTTATACATATGATAATTAGAAGAATTTTCCATGAACTGTCTTCCGGCCCTGTATATTTCAAACCTTGTTTTTCCTCCACTACCAATATACTTCAGTGTTGGGTGCAACAAGACATATTCTTATCGACCTGTGGCCCTGTACCTTTATGTCATATCACCAGTTTAATGGACACTAAGGACAATAAATTTCCTGTAAGGCAACCTAACTAGTGACTCACTGGAGCAGGCTAGACCCCTTCCATGGGACCTCAGCTTCGGAAGACTCAGCTCTGACCTCTGGCCACACATCTCCACATAGAGCAAGGCATCCGTAGGGCCAAATGGCCATGCCATACTATAGCACATACCTTGCCTTATAGACCACTCACTCTGGGTACCCAAGACTCTGGAATTCCCTGCCCATTTTTAGGGCTTGAGTGGACTGGTCTGTCTTCCCTAGGGTGGCCAGCATTGCAAGCTCAATGGGTGGCCAACGGGTAGTTATTTGCAGGTGTATATGAACAGAGCTTGGATATGCAGTCTGAGGTTTCCAAGTATGTATATGTGAGGACCTCACAGTGTGGAATAGAAAGAGATGGGTGGACGGCGGGTTGGCTTTCCTATGCCTCTGTGTTCTCGTAAGGAACTCCAAAGAATCTAAAAATTCCAAATTCAAGCCTGATCTCCTAGTCAAGGTAGGTGATAGAAGGTATTTTACTTAACAGTTTGTTAGATTGATATATAACATTTAAATATTTAGACATGATAACTGGGCTCCCATTTGTACTTTTGCCCAAAGTTGAGGATTCATGTGGGGATGAGGATATCTCTATTATTGTTCCGTAGAGTATGTACAGAAACCTGTATTGATATCAGAACTATTTAGACTCCTGAGGATGCTTTAACCTGTCTTAAACCTAGGTACAAGCTCAATCCTGGCCATCACTACAATGGTTTTGGGGGCTGAAATAGAGCAGTGCTGTGTCTCCAGGGCCTATTCACCCTGAGTTAATCCACCTCCTCAACACATCCTGTGTATAATAAGGCTCTTTAGTCATAGCCTCAAGAGTGTCCCATAGTTGCTGCTAATTCTGCATAATAATAAAGGCATAGAAAACAGAGGGTAACCCAAAAGATCACCATATAGATGCCTGAGCCTTCTTGGATAGACAATTCAAGTTTATTCTCCACATTCGGTTCCTGACTGGGGTCAAAAGAGGCAGATCTTGAACACATAGATTCTATTTTCTTATTTATTATGGTAGTTCATAGAGCTGTTCTGATAAACAATAGCCGAAGAGGCTTTCTCTTTGGGTCTGTCTTTCACATGATACCACATATTTGGCATATGTACTCATGTGTTAATATTTCTCTGCAGCCCGTGATGCCACGCACACCAAATCCTTGGTCACAGAGTCCAATCCTCGGCCTAAACACACGAAGCAAAGGTCACGCATCGCTTGTCAAAGATCTACGTGTCCCCCGGGAAAAGAGAATTGCAATGGGACCATTTGGACCTGACAGCCCAGAGCTCTAGCTGGGTAAATACTCAGAAGTTTTTTTCCAGGGTCA